CACAGGCCCAGTGCAAGGTGACACTGGGGACAAACAGGAGACACCCGGGGACACCTGGGGCAGGGAGGGGCACAGGGGGGGACAGGGAGGGGCCAGGGGCTGCAGGCCCAGCTCAGTAAGAGCCACCACAAACACACCAAGGCACAGTGCAAGGTGACACCGGGGACACGGGGACAGGGAGGTGTGTCCGTGGGTGTCCCTGTGGGTGACACAGATGTCCATGGGTATCCCTGTGGGTGACACAGGTGTGTCTGTGGGTATCCCTGGGCTGTCTGGGGTGTCCCTGTGGGTGACACGAGTGTGTCTGTAGGTTGTCCCCGTGGGTGATAGAGGTGTCCGTGGGTGTCTGAGGTGTCTGTGGGTGTCTGACCTGCTGTCCCCTGCTGTCCCCAGAGCAAGGAGGACGGTGATGGCTGTGTGGCTGTCCCTGTGGGTGACACGGGTGTGTCTATGGGTGTGTCCGTGGGTGTCCCTGTGGGTGACACGGGTGTGTCTATGGGTGTCTCTGTGTCTGACCCAGTGTCCCCTGCTGTCCCCTGCTGTCCCCAGAGCAAGGAGGAGGTGATGGCCGTGCGGCTGCGCGAGGCCGACAGCATGGCCGCCCTGGCTGAGATGAGGCAGCGCGTGGCCGAGCTCGAGATACAGGTCTGGGGACATGGGGGGACACGGGGGGTGTCTGGGGGTGTCCAGGGGTGTCCCAGTGACCCCCCCCCGTGTCCCCCCCAGCAGGAGAAGGGGCACATCCAGGGACCCCCAATGGGGATGGGGGTGTGCCAGGGGTGTTAGGGGTGTCCCAGTGCCCCCCCCGTGCCCCCCCAGCGGGAGGAGGGGCGGATCCAGGGACCCCCAATGGGGACACAGGGGACAGGGGGGTGCTGGGGGGACAGGGGGTGGCAGGGGTGGCAGGGGGTGTCCCAGTGCTCCCCCCATGTCCCCCCCCAGCAGGAGGAGGGGCAGATCCAGGGACCCTCAATGGGGACACAGGGGACAGGGGGGTGCGGGGGGG